TAGGTTTTGAAAGAGGCGGGACCCCGAAGACAACTTATCACAGATATCAGAAGGAGACAGTCATCATTTTTAGGCCAAATTATGAGAAGAGGGAAAATAGAACATGTTGTAACCACTGGGAAGATCTGTGCAAAGAGGGATAGAGGAAGACAACGAGAGAAGATGCTTGACAGTCTTGTTGCATGGCATGGAGGTGTGTCGGCACACAAACTGATACATGCTGCAGGAGATCGCAGATTATGGAGAGGCATCATCGCCCACGAAAGTCGGCAAGGCACCTGATGATGAGGATGATTCAGCTTTTAATCTGTGTCACACATTCTCTATTTGATGATATGATTGTTTTTGATTTTATTGACTTGGTTAAATATTTTTCCTTTTATTGAGATATCACAACATGGAGTTATCTTCTTCTTTTATATAACCATTACTTCCGTTTCCTTAATATTCAGTTGAAGTCATTTCTTAGCACACTCCATCCCCACAAAATCCAACAGTTGTTGTAGATCAGTTACGTTTACAGCTGTCAAAACTATATCGTCTGCATATTGCAAATTGTTCATATTGCATCCTCCAAATCTTACTCCTGCATTCTCTTTAATTTCACTCAAAAGTAGTTTACTGTATAGAGAGAAAAGGTCTTGGGATAAGACATTCCTGTCTTACTCCTGTCTTACTCCTGTCTTACTCCTGTCTTACTCGTGTCTTACTCCTGTCTTACTCCTGTCTTACTCCTGTCTTACTCCTGTCTTACTCCTGTCTTACTCGTGTCTTACTCCTGTCTTACTCCTGTCTTACTCCTGTCTTACTCCTGTCTTACTCCTGTCTTACTCCTGTCTTACTCCTGTCTTACTCCTGTCTTACTCCTGTCTTACTCCTGTCTTACTCCTGTCTTACTCCTGTCTTACTCCTGTCTTACTCCTGTCTTACTCCTGTCTTACTCCTGTCTTACTCCTGTCTTACTCCTGTCTTACTCCTGTCTTACTCCTGTCTTACTCCTGTCTTACTCCTGTCTTACTCCTTGCTTTATCTGTTTAAAGTGTACCCCTTCTGTTTTCTATTTTAATTGCTGCTGCTTGGTTCCAGTGAATGTTTTTAATTATTTTGAGATCTTTCCCGTCTACATTGATGTCTCCCAACATTTTCATCATCTCTTTATATTTATTTTTGTCAAATGCTTTGGTATAATCTATCAAGCACAAATATACGTTCGTTTGTATGTACATTGATCTTTCTATCAGTGTTCATATTATGTATATTTCATAACATGTCCCTTTAACTTTCATAAATCCATACTACTCTTGTCTTTATTTATCTTGCCATATTCTTTTCTGTAATTCATACACTGCTTTCTGTCACTCATTAACTTTAATATTTCTTCGGTCATCCATTTTTGTTTTGCTATGGCTTCTTTCTGGTAAAATCGCTTTGCTTGTTTGATGGATAGACGATTGCAACATTTCTCACTGATTGTGATTGTTTGCATTTTTGCATTGTACCTGTTACAATCACTCTTTATCGCCCCTGAACGTCTCTATCCCCTCTTAGAATATCTTTCTTTAGTATACAGTTTATCATCTCTTTCTTTGCCCTCTTCAGTCGTACATTTAATGTTCCTCATAATAGAATGTGGTCACTGTTACAGTCAGCACTAGGTCTTGTCTTCACATTTTTTAATGCATTTCTAAACCTTCTGTTAATTAGTATATAATCTATTTGAATTTTTTCTTATCTGGGCTTTTCGACCCGTATAATCGTCTCTTATGTTGTGTAAACCAGTGTTACCAATCCTCATATAATTTATTTTCGCCAACTCTATCAGAGTTTCAACTCTTTAATTTCCTAATCCTAAACCATATATCCCCCAACGACATCTTCCGTTCTCTTATTCCAAACTTTTGCATTGAAATATCCCAATATGATTTTAATTTCTTGTGATTTTGTTAGGGCTATTGTCAGATTTTAATCTTCGTAAAATATTTATGTTTCCTCTTTACTGCTAATTGGTGCTGGGACATACACTTGTATTATGTTTGCATTTTTTGGTTTGCCTTTGATTGTAACCATAATAACCCTATTTGATATACTTCAGTAACCCACAATTGCTCTTGTTGTTCCTTTATCAAAAAGTATCCTCATCCCCCTTTTATGTCTGTCGCTTCGCGAGTATATTATTGTGCACCCTTCCATCTCATTTTACTCATTCCTAGGATGTTTATCTTTATAAATTACATTTATTTTATAACATTTTCTATCTCTCCCAATTCTCCAAGTTTTCTCACATTTCACGTTGCTAGTTTGACACTTTTATTTTCATAATTTTTAAAAATTGCCATCAGTAACCTGACGACTATCTGGTGTCACCTGTGACACGTGACTGTCCCTACAGGACGAGGCTGTCCTTGGACTTCCATTAACGTCCTTTGTGTGATTCAGTCTGTGTTTTCTCATCGGTAAAGTAAAAGTGAAGGACTCTTTTCCACGCCTACAGGCGTATTGGGTATATAGGGCTAGACCTACATTTTATAGACCAAACTGCACTTGGTGAGTGATAAGGTCAGCATCACACCTGTCGCCTTTACTTCCCAGAACTATACCTGGTATCAATTCAAGGCAGGGTTGACCTTGTAGGCAAGGACATTTTAGAAAAAATGTCCTGCCGCTATCAGGACCTGAAGCCTACGATCTTACGATCCGCAGGCGGGCGTCTAGACGCTAGACCACGGTTAATCCCTGATAAGATCGGTCCTCCTATTTAGAATACTCCGAAACTCCCAAACAATGTTTACCTGATTGAAATTGCAATACTGAATTCATAAACAAAATATTGCACAATTTATGTCCTGGTATTCGTCTCTCGATGGATCAACTACTCAAGAGTTTGGTCAACATTTACTGAAGCATAGACTGTGAATTTGTCCAAATTAACAACAACAAAAAATTACCCTGATATAGAGAGCTGAATCGTGGACATATGTTTGTTTTTGAAACATTATTCGAAAGCTGCGTAGATATGGTTTTATAGACGAAGATAAGAATTCCTAGGATAAATTAAGAGAGATATGAAGATGTCTGGATATAAACTGACTGACGAGAAGTAGTCGCCCACATCAGAATGAGACAGTCTAAATTCTGTGATCATGTCATGAGAAGGAATTGTTTGTTTTAGTATCCAGAAGCCATGAGTTGTTAACCCTTAGGCTCGGTATTATGGATATCGCAAACTTTCGGCCTTGATTCCATTGTAAATACCGTAAATCTGGGATAAATGTGGCTTTTCTGCCTACCCCCGGGATTGAACCCGGACAACAAGGAGTTCGTCACCCGGTCTCCAAGCAATCCGGTTTAGCCAACTACGCTAGAGAGCCGGGCATTCATGAGAAGGAGTAAACTGGAGTATATCATGATGGCGGCAACTGTTGAGGGCAAAGAGGGGGAAGCCCAGACATAAGATGCTTGAGACCTTGACATTATAGGAACTGACTGAAAGTTCACTAGAGAGACGCTACGGATAGACATATATACCAAAGCCAAAGGCATCAAGTATAAGAATAGGAAGAACAAGCAGAGATAACAACAATCAAATGATCTGGCGGTACATTGCATTTCACCAAAGAAGTTTCAGATTAATGACGTGATCGTTTTGTTTTTTCTAAATTATGATGAAAGTCTCCAAATGACAACAATAATATACAATTCGTGTTTTAATTTTTAATTATAATGTTAAAATTGACAAATTTAATTTGTCCACCAGTTCTATTGAACGTGATAAGCCCAACGTTCGACGTGAGGAAACCAGTCTTCATCCTCGCTGCTTATTATTGTGTAAAGACCGCCCATTGTACGCCTGCTGACGTATTGGTCACACAGTAAGGGGTAAAGTCAAGGACATTTGGGGTGTAATGGGCATTTGAGGCTAGACCTATATTTTATAGACCAATCAGCTGACTAATATAATCATAATAAAAGATCCTTGTGCACACCTTTGTGCGTACTGGCTATAGAGAGATAGAATTCCATCTTATAGACTAATCGACACTCTTTGGGAGGTTTGGTCAGCAACAAGTCGGCTGCCTTATATGCCCAGGACTATAATTTGTAGACATGGAAAACTGAGTTGACCTTGGAGCTACCAGATTCAAATGTGAATCCTATTTAGCAGGTGTGCATCAGATATAAGCCCTTACAGGTGGATAAATTAGTCACCTGTTATCAAGGTCGGAAACGCCACAGTATTATGTGATTACATCATGATCGCTAGTCTACTTCGAGTCTATAAATACACCTCAAATCAATCTGTTAAAAAAAAAAAAAAAAATTGCCATGGCGCTGCAGAAAAAAAAACCCCACAAAAAACTATACCTAAACAAGTGACCGTTGTCAGAGAAGTACTTATTGTCTCTGACGTAACACCGTTTATACCCGATCCGTGTTTCTTTAAATCCTAATTTCCTAAGTATTAGCTTTAAGAAATACAATGATATCTTTTGTGGCATTATTCTTCGGCCGTAACAGTGCCACCGCCCAACAGGCAGCAGCAGATGAAAAGTGCAGCGAAAGGAATAAACAGCGGCAGGATCCAGACAGGTGGCACTTTTTCTTCCACTTCTGCAAAGACATCATTTACACATCAGACAATTATGACAATAATTTTTTTTTTTTTTTAAGCAAGTCACATTAGTGAAACGAATGAATGAATGAATGAATGAATGAATGCACGAATGAATGAATGGATGAATTAAGGAATGAAAGAATAAGTTAATGAAGAATCAATGATTGAAAGAATAAGTTAATGAAGGATGGACATTTCTCCACTAAGGATATGCCCACCCCTGTCTGCTAACGATCAGTTTCCATACGAAATTGTCAGTTACACACTGATTTTTTTCTTCTACTTTCGTTTGTTTGAACGTCCTTAGGAGTAGTCACCCTTGACGGCATCCGTAGATGAACTGCCTTACAAGAATATGTTCTAATGTAAAACACTCACAAGACATTACCTTGGGTACAATAATCGCCTGTGTGCCCCTGCACACACGAAAAGCAGCGTTCAGTTCGGTTGTCACACCGTCTGTTTGCACAGTACGCCGAGCATCTCCTGTCACAGAGGGGTCCAAACTGTCCTTGCGGGCACTCTAGGAGTTTAGACCAGACATTCAGTAACACAGTCGGGATGTCAGCATGTCTGTCGTGTTTTGGCTTCAACAACGTTGATACGACCATCCGGGAATTTAGTTAAATAACAATTACAATATTTTCATGTCATTCATATTGTTTTCACCCCCCCCCCCCCCCCCCCCAACCCTACCAATAATTATATGTACATTTTATTACAGCTTTTAAAAAAAAAAAAAAAAACTCTTATTGCATGCATTTAAAAAATCAATTAATTAACGAGCACAAGAGAAACTGTAAAAAGAAACAAAGAAAAGTAGCAGCACAGAGGCATCAATATTGCATCATACTTAGGTATATTTAAATTTTGTTGCAGAATCTAGATTTCAACATAAAATCCACCAACATTGATCCACTTGTCCCATCGCTTTGTTAGTCACCCCAGACTTGCTGCAAAAAAATGTGTGCTCTGTTTTGTGTTCGTCCATCAATTGGCTGGGTTCCCACCTTGAGCATGCTTTCTTAAGTTTCAACCAATCATGCATTACGTTGTACGGTGAACCATGTGACCACCCTACTGCAGCTGTTACAGAGTCAACCGTTAATCGTCTGTCAGTTTTAAACATCTCCTTCACCCACTGCACGGACGCGTTAGTTGCAATCTCAACAGGACAACCAGATCGGACTTCATCAACAATTCTAGAGCGTCCTTAACTTTTTTTTTATATAGCTATAGCTATGCACCGTTTTAAGGGATAAAAATTTGTCAGCAAAAACTGGAATGATCTTTGCAGGCAGCTTTTTTACACCTAGCCCACACCCCGCACTTTGACGGTACACTCCGCAAGTACAGTTGCCATATTGTTTCTGTGTTGCGATTGCGCATGCAACCCCTAGCGTCACCTAACGAATAGAGCCATAAAGTTCGATGTTGCTGTCCCTCAATGACGCCTTTGGAAACAATCAATTGTCCTGTCATTACATAACTGTTTGTGACTCACTTATTGACATCCCGTCGTTGTTTTTTTCTTAAGGGTTAGTTTGAAATTAGGTCCATGTTCGTCTTCTTAGATTGCACTAAAAAAAAAAAAAAAAGAACGTTACTGATGTCCACACTTTACCTTTACAAAAGGGTCCACTTCGATTGCTAACACAGGAAAAACATCGTCCTCTGTTGTGGTCACATAATCTGTCCGTACACAGGTTAGAGCAGCGGTTCGTACAGTTAGCACCATACCATCCTCTAAGACAGTCTGAAAACCCAAGTACAATTAGCACCATACCCTCCTCTAAGACAGTCTGAAAACCCAAGTACAGTAACACTTTGTTAAACCGTCAGTTTCTGTTATTTGTCATCGTTTGTAACCAAAAAATTCGTGAGTAACAACAGACATCTTTATAAATGTCCAAGGATTACTTATACTGCTGGATGTTGAATGTTGAATTAGGAATCGACATCATAGCACTTATTACACCCATATAAGCGTTATGTCCCTATCTTCAGCAGCTAACGAAAGAAGTCCAATTTAGATTAAACCAGTAACTGTCTGATAGTATATCCGTCCTGCCTTTGTCTTTGGTGTTGAGCGTAGGCCAAATCCCATGGTATCTTCCAGCAGTGTCATTCTCCTAAGAACGTAATGATTTATTTGCCGTTCCGCACTGTTAACTCGCACCCAGAGGGCCCTCACAACATCCAGCTTGTCATACATCAGTTCACAACCAAGTGGTGCATAACCAGCCAGTCTATATGCCTGCTCGTTTCCCAACCCACCGACATAACCCGGAGAGTATATTCAAAGGATGTTAACTACCCGGGATCTCTGAAGTGATACTTTCAAGTCTGCACGGAGCATGGCTGTCTCCACCTTTCTCAACATGCTCTGTGAGTCAGTTACAAACGCGGCATGCTTGTACAGCTGTTTCTCACGCCATCTAAATACAGAACTGACTGCCTCCACCTCCATTCTTAAACTAGATGTTGTGATATCATATTCTAGGCTTTGTTGTACTAAGCGGCGTATTATTATACCTAAAGTATCCACTGACTGGCAGAAAGCAATCACTGTGCCTATTTTGAAAAAAAAAAAAAAAAATAAAGGAGACAAACGTGACCATTAAACATACATGGGGCATCTATATTTTGAAGCTGAAGATGTTTGCAAAAGTATTGAAATTTAGAGCTCGACCAGTACTAGAGAAAAACGTTAGGTAAGAGACAGTATGATTTCAGGAACGGAAAACGCTCTACAGATGCAATATTCTTTAAAGCAGATAAGCGAACCATCTATTTAAAATGATAAAAGTTTACAGACCAAGAGAAGACATTTGATCGAGTCCGTTGATTCAAACTATAGAAATATTTAGACAAATATGGTATTCAAGTTCAGTTGTTGGAAAACATCATGGCTCTTCATCAAGATAGTCAGTGCACAGTAAGAACATCAGAAAAATGACAGACTGGCCTAACATCTCATCAGGTGTCTCTCAGGGATGTGGTATCTCACAATCGCTATTCATTACTGGACGCAAATACAGACGCTGAGAAAATCAATGAACTTCCTTGTTTTGGATACTCCTTAAAAAAATACTACAGGGGCATGTTGATTTAAAAATAGATTTGGAAAAGTTTTTGCTTTTTTCAATTTGATAATTTTCTAATGATGCTAGATTTTTTTTTACATTTTCAATAAACCTACATTTTACAGTTTCATTAAACATTTTGAAAAACATCGTTAAAGAAAAAAAACTACACCTGTGCATCAACATATGATTACAGTTCATGAATCCATAATCTATTTCTCAATACCTATGTGTGTTTTTAAAATTAGGGGATTCTAAGTACACCGTTTCCCCCCCCCCCCCCCCAAGATAGCGGCTATTGCCATGGCAACCGTTATATTTTTCAAACCTGAAGATTGAGAATGTAATAATATACATTTCTACGGATCACCTATATAAACTAATTGATCTAATATTGTTAATACCAAAGAAAATTTTTTTTTGTTGGGGTGGGGTGGGAAGGGGGGGGGGGGGGGGTTAGTAACCCCTAAAGGCATCAGACAGGGATGTGTACAGTCATTCGATTCATTAAATTTGTGCATTGAAATAATAATTAGATCCATAGATAGTATACCAAGAATATCGGTTCGTAGGCTTATTGTTAACAACCTGTGATATGTTGACCATGTAGTTTTGATCGCTGAAAATTAAACACATCTGCAAGAAAAAAATAGATACAAATGTAACAAAAAATGAAAACAAGGGTCAGGTTTGAACAGTAGAAAAACAGAAGTAATGATAATTACAAAGAAAATTGACTATCTAAAATGCAGTATCAAAGTAAATAGAGCAAAACTTAATCAAGTTGATATGATGAGGTACTTGTGAATTCAGATTACATCAGATGGAAGATGTATTAGGGACCTCAAATGTAAAATAGCCCAAGCAAAGCCAGCATTTTACAAAATGAAGTATATTTTATGCAATTTTTCTTTGTCAACTGTAAAGAGAAAAAGAATGATTAGAAGCAATATAATCCTATCTTGATAAACTGAAGTGATTCAAGGACATTTAGTTAATTTGTGAAAACTAAAGACGCTTAGATGTAGTTTTAAAGACTAATGACTAAAATACTCTAGTCAGATAAAAGGACTAATGAGGACGTCTTGAAAGAAATTTACTCTTGAAGAGAGCTGTTTGCCCGCATCAGAAAAAGAAAATTTAAATACGTTAGTCATGCGATGAGAAGGAGAAAACTGTGTACATTGTAACGGTAGGAAAGTTAGAGGGGAGGAGAGGCAGAGGGAGATTGAGAGAAAAGATACTCGATAGTTTAACATCATGGCGATTAAGACTATCGGTATCAGAGAAGATTGAAAGTACACGAGACAGAAGGTTGATGAGGGACGTGACTACAAAGGCCACATCACACATCATGGACTTTAAGAAGAAGTAGTAGTTAGGTGTTGATGACCACACATAACCTCCACAAAAATTCCCTATACGATTTGTAACACATGAGAAACATTGTCCACTCATTTGATCACACAGTCCGTCAGCACACAGGTTGGAGCATTGGTCCGTGCAGTTCTCACCGTGCCATCCTGTCTGACAGTCTGAAAATCAAAGCATTGTGCATTGACAGATTTATTATGTAAGACAGCACACAATCCATTAACATGGGCAGATTGTGTTTCTGCCGGTCATAAATGAACTAAGCTTTCAGGATCTCACCATCATCTGGTATTTATTTTTTAAATCTCACTGTCACTCAGGATCCTAAAGGGTTCTGTACTTCACTACACTTAAAGCCTACTGATTCGCATGCTTTTCTCGTGTGTATCCTCCCATCCTTCTTTCTTCACGGACTTCATACCTTTCTCTCTGCTTCTACGCTTCCATAAACTCCGTCTGAAGAACGATGGTTTTCATTACAGGGTGCTGAAAATGCTGCCATTTTTCAGACAGTACACTCCGAAAACATCGTATCTACTGCCTTTCACCACTCAGTGTCATCAGTCGTGCTAAGGCTCTCGTTTCAAAGCTTAAACATCACCACAACAACATGTTATCTCTTATCTACCACCCTCACAATATCAGTGATAAAAAGCGTCATCCTTAGGCTCCTCTAAATCACATAGGCTGATTATGTCACAAACACAATCTTCTCTGAACCCTACCCTCTCACATTCTGTGTGGCCTACAGACCTGAAAGAAAGCACAAGGATGTCCTAGTCAAGAGTCGGTAACGTTCCACCTCCAAGTTCCACTTAAACACGGTCCCATGTCCTTTTGCAATGCCTGACCCTGCCACTGTTTTGTCACTACCTCTTGATTCTGTAGACTATAATCCCAGCAACTCTTCAGAACTAGCGTTTATATTTGTTTTCTTTTAAACTAACTTAAAATTTGTTCTGTATATTATTTGCGCGTTTGCTGGTCCTGTACTTTTGCCATCACCAACATATATCCACTCTTTAGTTGTTGTTTTTTTTTTTTTTTTTTTAATTAAGTCTAAACTTGTCCCAGCATAATGCACGCAACAGTAATTTCGAAGTTTACATGTTTTACCCTTTACTGGAATGCCATATGAACCAGCAGCTTTTCCATCCCTTAAGGAGTTTAATAGGATACAAATTTATTCTGCAGATAGTTTATCACAGTTTGATTTGTCCTTCTTTGCACTGTGGATATCAATAGGTTTTATATAATTATTGGTATAGAGAACATGTTTGAAAAAATACTGCTTCAAACATTATTAAAAAATTGCAGTCGAATGAACGCCCAGACAAACTAATTCAACACAAATAAAACCTTATAAATAGTAATGAATGATATAAACACAATTTACAGTCAATTTTTACTGTAAATCTAAAAGATGCAAAATGTTTTTTAGACATTCGAAAGTAGCACATGACTGGTAAATTGATAAGGTATTCACGAGCAAATGAAGACCACTAATGACCACCACACTTTACCTCTACAAAAGGGCCCCATACGATTTCTGCCGCAGGAAACACATTCTCTCGTTGTCTGGTCACACAGTTCGTCAGCACATGTGTCAGGGCAGGCGTTGGAGCAGTTGTCACCAAACAATCCGTTCGAACATTCTAAAAAAACGACATTCTAGATGTCTGTCTGGCTATTAGCAAAGTTTGAATAATTTATAAACTTATGAAGATTTTATTTATGTTATAGTATAGTGGATAAATTAGGTGTACTGGACACATAGGGCTAGACCTATTTACGAGAGTTGTCTGAATGTGATTTAGGCAGACTAGCATTGTCTAACGCCGCATTTAACATAGTGAGACATTTTATTGCACCAGCCACAGTGTTCTTAACCATTATCTACATAAGTGAAACGGGACGACGAATAAATGGCAGGTTCACAAAACCTCTTGTTGATACACACAATTGTGCCCTCAAATTATTGTCCGGACTTTTCAATTATCAGGCTCAGCAAGGTGTCCTCGATATGGACATTGCGGCCATCAAGTCTATCCACTCCAGCGGCAGTGACCGTAAAGTCTCGAAAACTTGATATTTATTGAATGGGCTTCAATTCACCTAGGGAACCTAACGTCCAACACATTTTTATCACATATTTCTGAGTAACGTCCCTTGCTGTTTAGAGCCTTTTCTAGCTAGTATTTATTTCTGGTAGTCTCACGACGATCAGAGTCTCAGCTGGCTTGACTTGTGGAATGTTCTCGAATATACTTGACTCAAAGGATGTTATATATATCTAGTGTGTACATCCATGTAATGCGATGATAAGGGTTTTCTAGCCCCAACATTCACTTCGCGTTTGTGTTTGTGATAATATGAAGCTGACCAGTTCCTTTTTTGGTTTGGTTTGGTAATTTTTGACAAGCCTAATGTGGCCTGGTACTCCACACTGACCTCTGCCCGCCTGTACACTTGTGCTTTCGGTGACCTCTAGAATACTTGTATTGAATGCGAGTGATACTCAACAATGGCAGCCAGTTCCTTCTCCTCCCCCCTCCCCCCTTAAAAAATGTCCTACTTCTTCTTAGGCATCCTAGTCTATGTTTTATTCCTTCTTTGTTATCTACGTTCTAAGGTTTAGACATAGCTTGTTTGAGTTCAATACTTCCATTGGCTTTTTTTTTTTCAATGAGTGCCTGACACTGCAGATGTTTTGTCACTAACTCTTGATTCGGCAGACTATAATCCCAGCAATTCTTCAGAACTAGCATTTTTATTTTGTTTCTTTTAAACTAACACATGATTTGTTCTGTATATTATTTGCAATTTTGCAGCCCAATACTTTTGCCAGCACAAATCGATATAAACTCTTTAGTTTTTTTTTTAAATCATGTCTAAAACTGTCCCACCATAATGCACACAACAGTAATTTTGAAGTTTACATGTTTTACCCACAGTAGCCTTTACTGCAATGTCATCTGAACCAGCAGCTTTTTCATTCGTAACAAGTTTACTAAGATAATAATTTATTCTGCAGATAGTTTATCACAGTTGAATTTGTCCCTTCTTTGCACTCTATATATCAATATGTTTCATATAATGAATGGTATAGACAACTTGTGTGAAAAAATACTACTCAAAACACTTAAAAAATATAAGTCAAAGAAATGCCCAAACAAACAAACACATTTTAAATTATGAAAAAAAAACGTATAAATTGTAATGAATGATATACATACAAAAAATTTTTTTTTACAGTCAAATACATAGTATGTAAACCCTAATAGATTCAGTATGTTTGTTGGACATTCGTAAGTAGCACATGATTGGTAAATTCATTCGGTACTGACGAGCAAATGAAGACCACTAATGACCAGCACACTTTACCTCTACAAAAGGGCCCCATACGATTGCTGACGCAGGAAACACACTCTCCCGTTGTCTGGTCACACAATTGGTCAGCACACGTGTCAGGGCAGGCGTTGGAGCAGTTGTCACCAAACTGTCCACTCGAACATTCTGGAAAACGACATGCTTGATGTCAGTCTGGCTATTAGCAAAGTGCGACTAATTTATAAACTTAGGCAAATGTTTTTTATGGTCAAAGTATGGTGGGCAAATCATGTGTACTGGGCGTATAGGGCTGGACCTATATGTGAGACTTGTCTGTATGTGATTTAGGCAGATTTGCATTGTCTAATGCCGCCTTGCACATACGTGAGGCATTCTATTCCACCAGCAGCAGGGTTCCTAACCATTATCTACATCGGTGAAACGGGGCAACGAATTAATGGCAGGTTTACAACACCTCTTTTTGATATACACAACAGTGCCCTCAAATCATTGCCCGGAAATTTCAGTTCTCAGGCTCAGCAAGGTGTCCTCGATATATAAATTGCGGCCATCAAGTCCAGCCACTTTAATGGCAAGGTTCGTAAATTCTCGAAAACTTGTTATTTATCGAATAAGCTCCAATTCGCCTAGGGAACCTCACGTACAACATATTTTTATCTAATATTTCTGAGTCACAGCCCTTGCCGTTTAGAGCCTTTTCTAGCTAGTATTTTTTTCTGGTAGTCTCACGACGATCAGAGTCTCAGCTGGCTAGACTTGTGGAATTTTCTCGAATATACTTGACTCAAAGGATGTTATGTATTTCTAGTGTGTAAGTTCATGTAATGCGATGATAATGGTTTTCTAGCCCCGACGTTCACTTCGCGTTTGTGTTTGTGATAATATGAAGCTGACTTTTTCGATTTTCGGTTTGGTTTCGTATCTTTTGACAAGCTTACTGTGGACTGGTACTCCACACTGACCTCTGAACGACTGTACACTTGTGCTTTCGGTGACCTCTAGAATATTTGTATTGAATGCGAGTGATACTCAACAATGGCAGCCAGTTCCCCCCTCCCCCCCCCCCTTTTAAAAAATGTTTGCTACTTCTTCTTAGTCATCCTAGCTAGTCATATGTTTTAGTCCTTCTTTGTTATATACGTTCCAAGGTTTAGACTTAGCTTGTTTGAGTTCAATACCTCCGTTGGCTTTTTTTTTCCCAATGAGTGCCTGACACTGCAGACGTTTTGTCACTACCTCTTGATTCGGCAGACTATAATCCCAGCAATTCTTCAGAACTAGCCTTAATACTTTTTTTTTCCTTTTAAACTAACACAAGATTTGTTCTGTATATTATTTGCACTTTTGCAGGCCCAATGCTTTTGCCAGCACCAATCGATATAAACTCTTTAGTTTATTGTTATCAAGTCTAAAATTCTCGCAGCATAATGCACGCAACAATAAAGTTGGAGTTTACATGTATTACCCATAGTAGCCTTTACTGCAATGCCATCTGAACCAGCAGCTTTTCCACTCGTAACAAGTTTACAAAGATAACAATTTATTCTGCAGATAGTTTATCACAGTTAAATATGTCGCTTTTTTGCACTGTGGATATCGATATGTTATATATAATAAATGGTATGGACAACATGTGTGAAAAAATACTGCTTAAAACAATGTAAGTCAAAAGAACGCCCAGACAACCAAACTAATTCTATATTATTTAAAAAAACCTATAAATAGAAATGAAAGATATAAGTACAATTTACAGTCCAATACATATTATGTAAACCCTAATAGATTCAGTATGTTTGTTGGACATTCGAAAGTAGCACATGACTGGTAAATTGATTTGGTTTATCTACTCTTCTTCTTCACTTCCTCTTTTACTGCTGTGGGTGTCGAGGGAGATATAAGGTTCTGTCTCTAGCTCTTCTGGCCGCCTCGACCATAGGCACATCGTGCTGTTGTAGAGTTTCTCTGATGTTATCCTTTTATGTTGTTCTTGGTCTACCTCTTGCTATACGTCTTTCTACTCTTTCCATGTATGCTTTGTGTGGTATGGTGCCACAAGGCATTCACTCTAAGTGGGTAAACCATTTCACTTGCTGTCTTTGTGCGTAATTTAGAATTGGTTCTGTGCCGACTTTTTCTCTTATGATCTCATTCCTGATCTGATCTCTTATGGTCACTCCTACAGCCCTTCTCAGACATCACATTTCCATGGTTACTAATTTTATTTTATGGTTTGTTGTGAGTGACCATGTCTGGCACTGATAGCACAAAGTTGGAATAAATATGCTTTGAATAAGATGTCTCTTTGTGCTGATTGGGATTGTCTTATGCTGTAAGGAGGGGGGGGGGGGGGGAGGGGCTAGCTGTTCAAATACTTGGTTTGCTTTATTGCATCTAATGTTAATTTCTTTATCCAATTTCCCATCTTCGGTAAATGTAGTTCCTAGATATTTAAACACAGATGCCTGTTTAATGCCTTTGTACTCTATTGCTATGTCTTCTTGCTATATGTCTTCTTTTTTCCTATTGACATTACTTCTGTCTTTTCAGTGTCGATTCTCATATTATTTGTTTTACTTTCTTCATTAATGGATGTTAGATATTGTTGCAATTCCATGGCAGTATCTGCTATCAAGACCTGGTGTCATGAGATGAACAGCCACCACACACAGTGGACGAGTCGGGACCTGATATCCCTCGCGCTCAGCGAAATTTCAAGCTTAGACCCGTCCGGAAAGGTATATAGTCCCTTATATTGATCTATACCTTTATCTGGTAGAATATTCATTTCCAGACCTTCTAGTTGCTTTGATATATCTTCATTTTCAAACTTGCAACTATAGGTTGGCGAATTCTGATGTTTTTTTTTAAAATTCCTGTCAACTGGTTTACTCATTGGCCAGGAATACTAGGGAACTTCTTTTCTAGTGACACCAAGCGTAGTTTGAAGTGGGCATTTTCTGCCTGACTGCCTAGTAGAACAGATGTGTTCAACGGAGCCTCGTATATTTATGCTTTGAGGAGGGGGCCTTTGGTGTCTAGGACATTTCCTAAGCTTGGGTAAGTTAATTATAGTTTACGAGTACACTAAATGATGACTTTTTAAAGTTGGTCACTCCTGTGTAAAGGGGAGTATCAGCTATATGATCGTACAGAGTTCGACCGTTCTTGATGTCCAGAGATCCGGACCCGAACCTTTGACCTTCCCCCTGCACAGACTAAATAGTTTGTGCTCTAAATAACCCACACCTTTTGTAAAGATATTAAACCCTACAAGTAATTATTCTATAACCAAACGTAGGATTTGTATTGATTAATAGACACAGGTAAATTGGGTCATATTTGGCCGGCTTGTTGCTGTGACAAAAGCAAGCTTGGCGCTCTGGGTCAAAGGTTAATTGTAGCACAACAAAGTGTGTACGGTAAACAGAAGGGGAGGGTATGGAAAATATATATGAGAAAGAGATGGGATGTGTGTCTACAAGTGCGAGTGGACGAGGAGAGTTGATGTTCTCTGTTTATAGTCTATTTGTCTCCACTCTGGCACTCATCTCCTGTCACTGTTACTGATTGAACAATAGAGATGATTTGTAGAGACTTACACTGTCTCATTTTCTCCAGAGCTGTCCTCTGAATGATTACTAATGTGGATATTATTAAACTGAGCTTGACATGTAACACCTGAGATGACTGCTAATTCTAAGTTCCTTCTTGATACAGGATGATATCTCCTTGGAAGCCAGGCAATGAATCAGCAGCCCACAAAACCACCAACAAAGAAGTCACCTATGTCTTAAATAGTGGTGGGCCTCAGATGGTGAACCTAACTGTGGTCATCAAGTAATGAAATCCTCCAGTTGGTCTACAGACAACAATATGGGTGTTGTACCTTCAACATCATTTATCCGGCAGTTTGTTTGTGCCTCAAGTGTTTGACTTGGTATCCGAGATCCTCTTCAGGAGCTGGGGTGTATCTCCAGTGTTCGAGTGTCTAGTGTGGGACTGTCTTGAACATAACAACAGAGTGACTGAACATCCAGCCAGTTCAAGGAACCAAGTATTCAGATAAGTGTGGACACTCATGGGTTTATTGACAGGCTTCACTATTAAATGTCCATAATGATCATAGGGATGAGAAAGGCAGACTTTGGAACATTCATACACGTTCAGTCAATGCTAGATCGAGAGGAAGTTTTGGTTCTTCATATCACTCTGGCTTCTTGAAGCTCTTTTCTGATTCCTATATAATGTATGTGTTACAATGATTACAGTATTTCTGAAGTTTCACTATTGACTGGAGTGTCACTCATTCATTGTTCTTAGCTGTCTAGAATACATGTATGTTCAATTAAATATTTTCATCTGTGTTAACATGGTTATGATAGTAAACTATCATAACATGGGGGCTATCTTTTTATAGTAGTAGGAATGTCCAGCCAAGTGTGCCTAGGAATATTATATATTTTGTACTACAAAAACTTGAGTTGCCCTACTCCAGCAATCAGTTGAGCGTATATTGGCCACGGGGCTTCCCTTAGACCAATACGAGCCAACGACTCAACATAATTATTTCTGAGTGCTGTTGGTTCTTAAGGAGAAATCCTTAAAGCAGGCACGTGACAGGAGCGATATGTGACAGAACACATATCCTTAAAAATCTTGACACCTGGTCATCTGCAAATAGTAATTCGTTGATCTTACTAACATTTTCATTCATGTGCTTGGCATTCTTGCAAATACTGTCGATGTAGGTGATAAACAGCAGTGGTGATAAGACACACCCCTGCCTTACTCCAGATGTTACTGTGAATGGATGAGATGTTCCCTGATTTATTCTAACTACAATTCTACAATCCCTGTATAAACTTGTGCACACTACGATGAGGTGTTCGCTTACTCCATATCTTGATATTACTATCCGTAATAATTGTCTGTCGACTCTGTCAAATGTCTTCTCCTGGTCTACGAATGCCACAAATAAGTTCTTATTGTATTAAATGTTCTTTTCTATTACCTGTTTAAGTGTGAAGATTGCATCTGTGCAGCTTCTATTTCTCCTAAATCCCATCTGTTCTTCTGCCAGCTGTGGTTCTATCACTGGTCTCAGTCTTGTTTCTATTATCTTGGCATACATTTTGCCAACATGGCTTAAAAGAGAGATGCCTCAG